TTTTTTAACGGGGGTCCGGATAATGTCCAATCGGTGAAGCAGGGGCACAAGCGCTCGAAAACTGCAGCAAAGGAACCCCGAAGGGGCCCCGTAGGGCCCCTGATCGGACCTCGGGGCCCTCAAACCTCAAAGGGGCACTGAAGGTCCCGAGCGCGCTCGTGTCTCAGCCCTACATGTAATGCCCTGCGCTACCAGCTGCCCGGCTGCAGAAAGGGGCGGGGGGTCCGAACCCGACATCGCCACTCGCACAAGGCATCTGTACACCACTACCGTGTTTTGCCAAGGCCGTTATGGGCCCTCGCAAAATGCTGGCCGAAACCGGGAGGTTGAATACACCATCGTGGAGCCGTGGGTGGCCATCGCCAGACACGGCAGTGGTGAAGAGATGCCGCTTGCGTACTGTAGCGGCGGTGGTGTTAGTTTGTTCCCCTCCTCCTCCTCCTCCTCCTCCTCCTCCTCCTCCTCCTCCTCCTCTCCTCCTCGTCCTCCTCCGCCTCCGTTTTTCCTCCTCGTCTTCGTTCTCGTCCTCGTCCTCGTCCTCCTCCTCCTCCTCCTCCTCCTCCTCCTCCTTCCTCCTCCTCTTCCTCCTCCTCCTCCTTCTCCTCCTCCCTCCCTACTTTCCTCCTCCTGCTGCTGCTGCTGTTGTTGCTGCTCCTGCTCCTGCTCCTCCTCCTCCCCACCTCCTCCTCCTCCTTCTCCTCCTCCTCCCCTGCTCCTCCTGCTCCTCCTCCCTCCTCTCCTCCTCCTCGTCCTCCTCCCCCTCCTCCTCCTTCTCCTCCTCTTCCTCCTCCTCCTCCTCCTCCCCCTCCTCTCCTCCTCCTCCCTTCCTCCTCCTCCTCCTCCTCCTCCTCCTCCTCCTCCTCCTCCTCCTCCTCCTCCTCGACCAAACCTGACACGAAGAGAATCTCCGCGCCACATGCCGCTTGCGCCACCGCTTGAAAACCCCAGAGGCGGGCGGCGCCACCGTGGGCAGCGCGCGTCACAGGGGGCGGTTTGCCTGCCGTTTGCGACACCGCGTGGGGAACCCAGAGGCGGGCGGCGCCTCCGTACAGCAGTGCTCGTCACATAGGACGGCCTGCCTGAAAAAGGAAGCAAAACCAGTTAACCCGACAACACTTGCAGCACCGAGGAAGCGACGCCCGCAGATGACGTCTCACCAGCACGAACTGTGTCTGTGGGCCGAAAAGGGCTGCCTGAGCAGGTGCCACGTCTTGATCAGATTGAACCTGGTTGGACCACGTGGGTGGCGGGTGCTGGCGGCTCGAGGCATGCCTGCTGCAGGCCGCTCGAGATCTTAGTTCCGCCCAACCCGCACACAGCACGCACTACACACCACTCTCCACCTTGCAACTGAGAAAGGATGCCGACGTGCTGCCTACTGCCTGCGGCGGCAAGTCGCACACCGGCCAAGCAAGCACTCGCGAGGGCTCTTGGGGTCCGAGTGGGAGGAGGGAGGATCACCACAATCGGGGGATAAGGCTTCTCCTTGCGAGCCCTCGCTTTGAATGGAACATGCACGGAGTCGAGGTCACAAAGCCTAGGCCCGACTCTGGCACACCAAACAGCAGAATCACTGAGCACTCTGGCCTTGGTAGCTCTGGCAACACGCAGGGACGCATCGATCCTGGCACGCTCGGTGCTCCACTTGACCCAATCGTCAGCCTCAGCGTTGCCTTGACGACAAAAAGTCGAGTCTCTGCCAGCCTGCACTGCTGCCCGTGTGGCATGAGCAGGCACCTCAACTAGATTGAAAGCTTGGACCCCTCCCCAAATCGTCGATTTTGGCCCACACGAGCCTCCAAATCTAACCCCAAGCACTGTTGCTGCTACAAAGAGTGCCTGAGGCCGCGAAACAGCACGCCAGAATACACGAAACTGGAGTCGGTGTAAAACGCGGCCCCAGGGTCCCGTGCTGGAGCTGCGAGCTCTGCAGGATCAATATCCGCATGTGTGCTGCAGAACACACCGACGAGCACAGGACGCACTGCCGCAAATAGAGGATCGACTGCGGCGACAGCCCGCCCAGCGGCCTGCGCGCGCGGGGAGATCCCGGTCGTGCCAAGAGCCATCCAAAACAATGTGCCCCGACATCTCTGCGGGGCCGCGCCGAACCGTCTATCGGGAGGGTGCGAGGAGGCAGGCAGCGCGGCAGCAGGCGCCACCAGCCTTTCAGCAGAGAGGCGGCTGAGGGGAGAGGTGGCGGCTGCTCGCCCGAGCGTCCCTGGGCACTTGGGGATGGCGGGAGTTTCCATGACCTCTTCTTGCAGCCCACGCGCGGTATGTCTGTGACAGAGCGTGCACGCGGTCTGTCGACGCGCTCGGCACTCGGGAGATGAGACCATGCCAGCAACCCATTGCCTGTGTTGCGGCCATTGGCCTCCTTTAACCACACTCTTGACGTGTCCTTTTTTCATGGGGCAGAAAGCGTTTGCTCCGCCTGGGTGAGACGAGCTGAACATCGATCGCGCGCGCAACATCGATCCCCAAGTTCCTTCAACTGGAGAGCTCTTTGAGTTTGATGGGCTGAACCCACTGCGCTATCCGATCTCCGAGAGGCTTTTCCGGCGCAACGGCGCGACCCTTGCGACGATGAACGACGAGACCGATATGATCGAGTTCGGTGCAACGCGGTGGTGGCGTTTGCCTAAATCATGCGCAACATCGACTGCTCGTCCAATGCGCTGCAGTCCAAAGCCGATGCCCAAGTCGACCTTGGGAAAAGAGCTCCCACCCAAACGGCTGGCATCATGAAAACAAGCTGCAGCATGACAGTGGCAAAATGACATCCTGGCCGAACGGCCTTGCAAGCGTGCAACGGCTGCGAATCAGCATCGCTCAATGAGAGCACCCTCGGGGACCTACAGAGCTCGACAAGTGGCTTCAACTGGCGGAGCGGAGACCCCGGTCTCTGGGCAGCGGCGAGGAGCTCGACATGTGCAGGTCTAACAGCACCAGCCCTGAGCTCAAACCCTCTGCGGCAGCCCACTCGGCACCAGCAGCCTGGATCCAAACGAGCTTGTCGCTGCTGCGGCCACTGGAGGACCACCGCTGGGGCCTGGGATTCGGATCTCGCCATGTCCTGGTCAATGGGCGCCTGTGTCCCCCCTGTATCCTGGCAAGCATGCGCATTGCAGCTAGCGGCCGCAAGCCTCCTTCCCTCTTGCTGAGGAACCCGACCATAGTCCAAAAAAAAGCCAACGCGCAGCTCGTCCGATATCTTCGATCAAGTCCAGCAAAAGCGAAGAGGCATTCTTCCGACAAAACGAGCAATTACTTAGGAGTGATCCGGTCAAACTCGCACCCTGAGGCGCGAGGAAAGGGTCGCAGACAGTCTTTCAGAACTTGCAGGCTGGGGCGTGGACAATCAGGCCCAAAATCGCCGGGCCAAGTGATGCGAAAATCCCCCGCCCCAGCCCTCCGCCAGTGAGACCACTCCTCCTCCAACATATTTACTTATTGCTGCGTGGTGGCAGGCTGCCCATAGCTGGGAGACGCCTGCGCCGAACTGCTGCTGCAGAAGGCCTGCGCACTGACAGGGCTGAATCAGCTGGCATGCCACAGCGCCGGGGGCTTCGAGGCGGCATGAAGCGGCGCTCCTAAATTCAGGCTGCGGTTGCGGACCCAGGGCCGCCAGCCTACGCGCTTGTTTTTCTCGGCCTGCCCGTCGACATGCTCTGCCCTGAAAGCGGCGACTTTGGCCAACACGGCAGCAGTTTCGCATGGCAGATACTGCGCTACATAGAGCAGCTCAAGCTAGGGTGGTGCTGTCTGCTGGCCAACTCTTGCAGTCAGCCCAGGGCGCGCCCACAACGCGTTCAGCTCGCCGCTGTGCACAATCGGCCAGCCGCAGAACAGCAACGCGACGATGCGGGGGCTGCCATGCGCTCATGCCACGGAAACACTGCGCCAGAAGCCTCCGACATAGCGCCTCTGGACCCAACCGCGGGAAAGCAAACTTGCCTGGGCCAGGCGCCTTGCGCTCGGTGAAGACGGGGCCGCGGCTCCGACCTGAGTACTCAGGGCACTCCTCGAAGCCGATGTCGTAGACATCTGCCCAGTCGCTCTCCGCCTTGACCCGCGTCTCCCACTTCTCGGCGGGGTCGCGCGTTGCAGCCGTGGCATCCTGCGCATTCGCCAAGTACTGCGTGAGATCGTACCGTCGGCATCCGATGGGCGCGTGAACTGGGGGCCCCTTGGGAACTCGCGAAACGCGATGGCCTCCCGGAGCCGCAACCGTAGGCTTGAGCGTGAGAATGACAGGACAACGCGGCATGGTGCCCGCGTCGCGCGCAACCTCCGCGGCGGCGCCGCACTGCAGAGCGGCTGGCGCGATGAAGATATCAATAGCCCGCCCCTTTTGTCTTGGAGGCGTTGCTGCGCGCGGCAAAGGCCGGAGCAACCGCTGCCCCGTTGATCGCATCTATCCAACCAGATCCATTGAGCGGATCTGGCTCCGTCTGAAAGTCCCCATTGATGATGAAGGGCATGTCGGCGAGCTTGACGGCCTCGCCAACTGCTCGCAAAATGGCCCAGTTGCGAGGGCCAAGCGGCTCGCCACCATGCAGATACAAATTGATCCACAAGAACCCACACGGCGCGGGCCCTGAGGCACGGAGTGCTCTGTGGCTCTGCCAGAAGCGATGATGGCAGGAACATCGTGCTCAACCTCGGCGAGCCCAGGCACAGGCACAGCTTGCAATGGGCCACCGCCGCTGCCGCCTTGACCTGTGGCTACAGCTGGCTCCAACCGCGCGCGCCATCTGATATCGCGCAACTCGGACCCCCAATCAGCATGCAACCACATCTCAACATGATGCTCTTGAATGGCTAGAGCGTCACGCGCTCGAGCTGCCGCGTGCCCGACCAGGGCCTCCATGCCTGAGATGTCCGCCACAACGCTGGTCATGCCGCGCCATCTCTACCGTGCACCAGGATTGCCGCGGGCCGTCTGGTGCGGGAGAAACGGCAGCATCGGCGTCTGCAGGCTGCTTCTTGAGAGCCTGGTCGCGCAGATTGTTGAAGATGCCGGCCACAAAGGAGTGCCTGACCCCATGCTTCTCGCCCAACTCTGAGGCAGGTCCCATGTCTTCGGCCTCGTTGCTGGCGAGGTACTCGAGCAGCTCGTCGTGGGCCTGCTGAGCACGGGCTTGGGCAGCGAGGGCGTCAGCTAAGGGATCTGCTGGTAGCGCATGCTGTGCAGCTCCCATGGGCACGTCCTGCCCTGCAGGCGCGGGCTGCTGCACAGGAGGAGCGCTGCCAGGCCCAGCAGGAGGTGGAGGAGCCGCTGCGGCAGGCAGCGCATCGCGGAGGGCAGGCACCACACTTGCGAGCGCCGCTGCGACTGCCTTGAGCGGCTCCGACTTCTCGAGCGTCTCCAGCAGCTACTGCAACTGCCCAAGCGGGTCGGCGGGCGGTGCCATGGACGCGGAGGCGGCGGCCACGCGGACAGCAGCCACCTTTATGCCGGCACCGCTGCTGCCAGCTCTGCCTTCAGATTGACATCATTCGCCACTGCCTTGACCACCGCCTCCTGCGCACGGTCGTAGGCCTTCTGAGCTTTGATCCTCTTGTCCGAAGCCGAATCCTTGTCGATCCGAGCGGCCTTGGCACTGGACTTCGGCTCAGTGTTCTCGATGTCTCTCTGAATTCTGATCTTTGCGACCAACTTGGCAGGGCACCCCTCTGCGACTGCGTCGAAATCCGTCGGGGGCACGCGTGCGTACATGTGGATCTGCGCTTCCGAAAGGTGTGGCGCACGAGCTGGAACTTTGGGCGGGCCTTGAACCCAAGCGCCGAGATGGCGATTGCTTGGCTCTCCCCTTTGAGCACTGGACGGCTGCCCAGGAAAACGCCCCAGTTGCCATCCGCACTTATAGCAGCTCGCTCGCGAGGCACAGTTATGCTGGAAGCACCACCGCATGTTCACACACGCCCAGCGAGAGAAATCCGCCATGAGACAGACGTCATTGCTGTAACAGAAGCGTGCGGGAGGGACCGCAGTACCGCATCGAAGAGTCCTGGCCGCTGATGCCAGGGGGCGCAGACGGGGGCCGCGGACCCCCCACGCCAATAACACCTCAAGACCTCGAGCGACACACTCCGGACTTGAACCAAAACGGCTACAGACTTCCTCCTCCTCCTCCTCCTCCTCCTCCTCCTCCTCCTGCTCCCTCCTCCTCCTCCTCCTCCTCCCCTTCTTCCTCTGCAATCCTCCTCCTCCTCCTCCTCCTCCTCCTCCTCCTCCTCCTCCTCCTCCTCCTCCTCCTCCTCCTCCTCCTCCTCCTCCTCCTCCTCCTCCTCCTCCTCCTCCTCCTCCTCCTCCTCCTCCTCCTCCTCCCCTCCTCCTCCTCCTCCTCCTCCCTCCTCCTCCTCCTCCTCCTCCTCCTCCTCCTCCTCCTCCTCCTCCTTCCTCCTCCTCTCCTCTCCTCCTCTTCTGATATTATCCTCTTTTCCTCCTCTCTTCCTCCTCCTCCTCCTCCTCCTCCTTCCTCCTCCTCCTCCTCCTCTCCTCCTCCTCCTCCTCCTCCTCCTCCTCCTCCTCCTCCTCCTCCTCCTCCTCCTACGCTCCTCTCGCACCAGCATCGGCCGGCCGCAAACCACGCCCGCGCGTGCGTGGACCCCCGTGGGCGGGCGCCCAATCCCCAACCGCGGGCCCCCCCCGGACGCCACCGGGAGGCCCTTCGGGAAGGGGGGAGGAAGGGGGGAGGCCACCTTACCATCCTGACATACCAACTCAGGCCGTGTGGAAGAAGAGGAACCTTGACGTAGACTGGCGTCGCAATGAAATAGGCCGTGACGGCGCATGAACGGTGGCCGCGAGCCAAACGGTGGCTCTTAAACTACCATCGTGGCCGTCATATCGATCGGGCCCGAACGCATCAAATCGATTGACGGAAAAAACAGAAAACAGAAGCCCGGCCAACTAGCAAGGACAACTCGAAGTCATGTCCGGCCTCAGGCAGGCCATTCTCGCAGATGTAATTCTTCTGGCTGTCCTATTATATAAATGTGCGGTTTTCTGCGTATGAAACCACGGGGGCGTCATTCGCAGAGCCGTCTCTCCAGCGTACTTTCAAGGTCTGTCCGCTCAGATCGAGCACGATGCAGTCGAGTACTCCTTGTCGCACTCGCCCTCCAGTGTCATCGATGGCGATGGGCCTTTTTCGGGCACGAGGATCTGATCTGGGTAGCACTAGTCTGCCTGCGTCGTTCAGCAGCCTGATATCCAACATGTCATCCAAGCACCCACTATCGGACGTGGGCGAATGTGACGCCACGAGCCAAGCCCAACTTCAGCTGCTTCTGCCAAGCGCCGAGTGCTTTCCGCTGCAGGTCGGGGCGCAGTTTGCCGATCCGCATGCGGATAGCCCACTCGAGGTCCACGACCACGCTCTCGTAGCCCAGCGCCGTCGCATGGCCTTGCGTGAACAGGTGGCGCCATATATTCTAGTGGCCCAGCCATTTCTCGTGGCCTAGTGTACCCCAGCAGGTTCTGCTAGTCCAGTGTCCCCGCGTGGTCCAGTATGTTCCTGTGGCCTGGCGAACTCTGGAAGCGCAGCCCCATCTCGTAGCTCAGCGCCTTCTCGTGGCCTAGCGTGTTCTAATGGCCAAGGGTGCTTTGGTGGCAGAGCGCCGTCTCGTGGCCTTGCGTGTCCTGATGGCGGCGCAACGCGTTCTGATAACTTAGCTCAACGCCCTCTCGCGGCCCATCACGTCGTAGCGGCCTGGTGTGTTGTCGAAGGACCGCGCGCTCTCGTAGCCCAGCGTGTCTTGGTAGCCCAGCACATTCTCGTAGTCCAGCATGTTCTCGTGGCCTTGCGTGCTCAGTGATGCCGCAGCACCTTCTCGAAGCCCAGCGTCTTTCCGTGGTTCAGTTTGTTCTGGTGGCCCAGCGCCCTCTCATGGCCCAGCGTGCTCGGGTGGCCGAGCGTGCGCTGGTGCTTCAGCGTTTTCTCGTAGTTCGGCACACTCTCGTGGCCCAGCGTGTTCTCGTGACCCAGCGTATTCTGGTGGCCGAGCGTTCTCTGGTGACCCAGCGCGTTGCCCAGCGCCCCCTCGTGGCGCATTTAGTTCTAGTGGCCCAGAGCCGTCTCGTAGCCCAGCGCCGTCTCGTGGCCCAGCGCGCTCTCGTAGCCCAGCGCCTTCCAGTAGCCCAGCGTGTACTGGTTGCCTTTCGTGTTTTCGTAGCCCATCGCCTTCTCGTAGCCCGACGCTTTCGTAAGTAAGGCCCACGTCGCCGACCAAGCTGGGCAGGAACAGCGCGCCAGGGAATTCGGTGCAGTTGATCTCGTGCGTGGAGCCGTACTTGAGGGCGCCGTACCCGCAGTCTGTGATGTCGTAGCCGTAGGTGCTGCCGTGGCCGGAGTCCACTGGCAACTCTGCCAGCGGCCTGCATCAAGGTCTGATGGACTCGTTAAGTCCTGCTGCATGAACCAAGCTGCGCGTGGCCTTTGCTGGCCTGGGCCTCGCGAAACGCCCTTCTTGTCCCGGGGTGTTGGCGCCAGCGGCCGCAGCTCCTCCATCGCGCGGCGGCGGCCGGCGGGCCGAGGCTGGCCCCGCGTCCCCAGGGCCAGAGTGCGGGTGGGGGCGTCCCCGTCCGCGCACATGGCGCCCTTTCTCCTCTGCCTCCTGCTCCTGCTCCTCCTCGTGCTCCTCCTGCTCCTCCTCCTCCTCCTCCTGCTCCTGCTCCTCCTCCTCCGCCTCCCCCTCCTCCTCCTCCTCCTCCTCCTCCCCATCCTCCCCCTCCACCTCCTCCACCTCATCCTCCTCTTATTATTATTATTATTATTATTCGTATTATGATGCTTCATCGTCTTATTATTGTTTTTAGTATTAGTGTCCTTACCCTTGTTCTTTTTTCATCGTCTTATTGTTAGTATTGTTATTATTCGTACTGTTCGTATTATATTTCTTCGTATTTTTCTTATTATTATTCGTATTAATCTTCGCATTCGTCTTATTACTATTCTTATTCGTCGTCTTCGTCTTCGTATTATTAATATTATTATTATTAGTATTATTACTACAATTTTGTATTAGTATTATTATTTGTTTTCGTCTTCTTCGTCTTCGTCTTCTGCCTCCTCCTCCTCCTCCTCTGCCTCCTCCGCCTCCTCCTCCCCTCCCCTCCCCACCCCGCCTCCAGGAGGAGGAGGGGGAGGAGGAGGAGGAGGAGGAGGATGAGAGGCCGGGGGATTGTGGAGTCCCTGTGGGTTTCAGACGATTTTTTACGATCTTCCCCGTTTGTCCTCATCATTATTATGATATTTCCTCTGTCGCTTTCTCTCTCTCTATCTCTCCCACTCCCATTCCCATTCCCATTCCCATTCCCAATACCATTACCATTCCCATTCCCATCCCCCTCCCCCTCCCCATTCCCATTCCCATTCCCATTACCTCTACCTTTATATTTACCTTTACCGTTATCATTACCATTACCATGGCCATTACAATTGTCATTGTCATTGCCATTGCCTTTCCCATTGCCATTGCCATTGCCATTACCAAATCCGTTGCCATTGCCATTGTATTGCCATTGCCAGTCGCCACCCCATTATCATTACCATTACCATCCCCATTACCATTAGACACTACCATTACCATTGCCATTACCATTGACATTACTAACACCATTGCCATTACCATTACCATTACCATTACCGCTGCCATCACCATTACAATCCCCATTCCCATCACCATTGCCATTACCGTTGCCGTTACCAGTACCATTTCCATTACCATTGCCATTATCATTACCACTACCACTACCATTTCCATTCCCGTCCCCGTTCCAATTACCACTACGATTCCCATTCCTATTCCCATCCCCATTACCATTACCCTGACCATGACCATGACCATTGCCATGGCCATTGTTATTGCCATTGCCATTGCCGTTGCCATTCCCATTGCCATTGCCATTGCCATTACCATTACCATTACCATTGCCATCGCCGTTGCCATTGCCATTACCAGTCGCTACCCCGTTACCATTGCCATAACCATTACCATTACCGTTACCGTCACCATTACCATTCCCAGTACCATTACCTCTGTCATTGCCATTACCATTACCAGTGCCATTGCCATTCGCCACTACCATTACCATTGCCATTCGCCACTACCATTACCATTACAATTGCCATTGCCATTGCCATTCGCCACTACCATTACCATTGCCTGTACCAACCATTACCACTCCGATTCACATTCCCTTTCCCATTCCCATTCCCATGACCATTACCATTACAATTACAACTGCCAGTGCCATTACCATTACCATGACCATTACCTCTACCTTTACCTGTGCCCTTACCCTTACCATTCCCATTTCCGTTACCACTACCACTGCCATTCCCATTCCCCTTCCCATTCGCATTCCCATTCACGTTCCCATTCCCGTTCACATTCCCATTCACATAACCACTACCATAACCATTGCCATTGCCATGGCCATTACCATCGCCATTGCCATTACCGTTGCCATTGTCATTGCCATTGTCAATCGCTATCCCGTTACCACTATCATTACCGTTATCATTACCAGTACCATTACCATTACCATCACCACTGTCATTACCATTCCCATTCGCATTGCCATTGCGATTGCGATTAGCCACTACCATTACCATTGTCAATCCCATTTCAATTGCCATTGCCATTCGCCACTACCATTACCATTACCATTGTCATTTCCATTGCCATTCGCCACTACCATTACCTCGACCTGTACCTCTACCCTTACCGTTATCATTCCGAATTCCGTTACCCGTTACCACAACCACTACCATTTCCATTCCCGTTCCCGTTCCCATTCCCATTCACATCCCCATTCCCGTTCCCATTCCCGCTATTATTGCCATTGCCATTACACTCACCATTGCCATTACCATTGTCATTGCTATTGCCAATCCCTTTGTCATTGTCAATACCATTACTGTTGCCATTGTCATTGTCATTGCCATGGCCCATCGTTACCCCGTTACCATTACCATTACCGTTGCCATTACCAGAACCATTACCAATACCTCTGCCATTACCATTACCATTACCATTGCCATTCGCCACTACCATTACCATGTCCAGTACCATTTCCATTTCCATTCCCATTACCGCTGTCATTACCATTAGAACGCCCAGTCTCATTCCCATTCCCATTCTCATTCCCAATACCATTACCATTTCCATTCCCATTACCAGTGCCATTACCATTACCACTACCACTATCACTTCCAGTCCCGTTTCCATTCCCATCCCCACTCCCATTCCCATTCCCATTACCATTACCACTGCCACTGCCATGGCCATTGCCATTACAATTACCTTTACCTCTACCTTTACCTTTACCCTTACCATTGCCATTACCATTGCCATTGCCATTGCCATTGTCATTGCCATTCCCATTACCATTGTCATTGCCATTACCGATGCCATTGCCATTGTCATTGCCTCGCTACCCCTTTACCACTATCATTACCGTAACCATTACCACTACCATTAGTATGACCAATGCCATTACCATTACCATTGCCATTGCCATTGCCATAGCCATTCAAGGATTTCAGTAGGAATCATTCAGTGGAGGGTGTCAGTAGGAATCCACATGTGGAGGATTTCAATAGGAATCATTCAGTGGAGGGTTTCGATGGGAACCCTTCTGTGGAGGATTTCACTGTGAATCCTTCTTATGGGGGCGTTCAATAGAAATCCTCCTAGGGCGGAGGGCAGATGTGGCCACGTCGCATTCCCTTTTTTTTTTTTTTTTTTTTTTTTTTCCTCCTGGCGCCCCCCCCCCCCCCCACAGACAAAACAACGAAAAAAACAAACAAAAAACTATATCATTTTTTCTGGGGGCGGGGGGGCGGGGTGGGTGGGTGGGGGGGGGGCGCCGGGGAAAAAACACAAAAGCAGAGAGGTAGGAGGAGGAGGGGATGGAGGGGGGAGGAGGAGGAGGAGGCGGAGGGAGGAGGAGGAGGACGACACAGAGCAGTTTGCACAGAAACAATCGCGAACTCAGCGCGAAAGCCTCGCGCGCGCGCTTTGGAACCACCGGGGCCCCACAATCCCCCGTTCTCGAGGAGGGGGGGGAGGCGGAGGAAGGGGGGGGGGCGGGGGGAGGGAGGAGGAGGAGGAGGAGGAGGAGCAGGAGGAGGAGGAGGAGGAGGAGGAGGAGGAGCAGGAGGAGGAGGAGGATGAGGAAGAGGAGAAGGAGCAGGAGGAGGAGGAGGCGAGGCGAGGCGAGGGCGCCAGAGTCGGGCACACAGGTGTGCCCGTGCCCTTGTCGGCAGGGCGCAAGAGGCCGTGGCCTCAGATCGTGTCCGAGTAGACGTCGTGGACGAGTCGTTGACGAAATTCATCGAAAACCAGTGCGCAAACAGGCAAGGAACAATATGCGTGCGAGCCGGGAGAAATAGAAGGCGTGACAGAGGATGTAGGATGTTCATGAACCTGGTCGGGATCGAATCGGCGTGGTCGGTGTCGTGGCTTCTCCTGTTGATGGTCGTCGGTAGTCGGTGCTGTATGCTGGTGTTGCTGCTGCGTTGTTGTTGGTGTTGCCGTCGGTGTCGCTGTCGGCGTCGCTGTGTTAATGTCAATGCTAATCGGTTGATTGGAGTCGTCAGGAGTAGAAGTCTCATTCAGGAATTCTAATGGTTCCGTGTCTGTGTCGGCCACAGCGGTTCCCATCACCATCACCGTTTTACCATCACCGTTTTGGCAGCAGAAATGCCCCATCCACGGCGCATATCATCATCATCGGTGGTGTAGTCGGTGTTCCTGTATATTCGGTGTTGTTCTGGTGGTGGTGGTGGTGGTGGTGGTCATTTGGCGCCGGCGCTGGAGGTCAGGAAATTTTATCGGTGCAACTGGCGTTGGGGAGTTTGCGCCCTCAGCAATTGTATGCAATGAAGGCGCTCTCAAGAGAGTCCCACCATGTGGTGTCTGTCGCGGCTGTCAACCATCTCACGTCGTTGCTGTCGTAGTGGAGACATCGTCGTGGATGGATGGCGTCGTTGGTGTCGCGGTCCGTGGCTTCGTCCCTGGTGTTCGTGTGCAGGTTTGCCAAAACTTCCTCACGTCGTCGTCCCATATTTTTTTTTGGCCTCCGTGCTGCGGGTGGCCTTGATGTTTTGCGCCGAGGCTGGGGTTCCAATTCAACACACGGTGTGTCCATCGGTTCTGCGGACGGCTCGAAACGAGTGCGGCCCAACGCCAGACTTTTGCGCGATGAATCTGTACTGGATGTCGTGCTGGCTCATGAGCTCCTCAGCCCTACGTGTGCTCCGGCGGATGAAGTCCGACCACAGCTCGTCTTCGTCTGTCGTCTGCTCGTGGGTCTGGCGTGCGTCACTGTTGTCTTCTTGTGAGCTGGTCTGTTCTGATGGGGAGGGGGGGTTGCTGGATGCGTCGTGGTCGCTGGAGTCGTCAGGGTGGACGCTGTCTGCGACGTGGTTGCTGTGGCTGTCTGCTGTTGGTGCGGCGTGCGTTCGTAAGGTGACGTTTGTGCGCCTTCTTGGAATTCCGATGATCGCCCGAACCATCCGTCGTTGAGTGCGGCGTAGCTGTTGTCGGAGTGGCTCTGTCAAGGCCCACGCTTCCGCGCCGTATGTCATCGTGGGAATGACGGTGCCTCGGTAAAGCCTGATCCTGTGTTTGAGTGGGTAGTGCTTGCTCGTCAGTTCTTGTCTGTGGGCTGTGAGGCATGCCCACGCAGCTTAGATCCTGTGTTGGATCTCGGTCGCCGCGGCTTCTTGGAATGTAACCATCTGGCCGATGTATGTCAATGTGAAGCATTATTGTAATGTCCATGTTTGCGACGCTGGTAGACCGAGTTCGGGTCTTGGTTTGGTTGGTAATGATGTTTGTTTTGGTCGGGTGTATTTCCAGGCCGTGTGGTTTCGCTGCTGTGACCAAGTCTGCTAGTAGAGTCCTCAGGTTGGGTAGCGTTTGGCTAACTAGCGAAATGTCGTCGGCGAAGCGGAGGCTGGTGAGAACAGATTGACTGGCGTGCGCCAGTTGGATTCCTTTTCGTCGTCGCTGCCATTCCAGAATGAGTGATGCTCAAACGTGCAATATACTGGCGTTGAAGAGCAAGGAACTTAAAGGTAATTTGAACGGCTTACTCGTGGAGTCGGTGCGTACTTCGGCCTGTTGGTCGTGGTAGAGGCGTTGGAGTAAGTGGATGTAGTCGGGCGACACGCCCTGGTGACGCAGTGCTACCCATAAGCTGTCGTGTTCCACTGTGTAGGAAGAGGAGGAGGAGGCCTCTTCCCCCCAGGTCAGAAGGCCGCAGGGAGCAGAGGAATAGTTTTGCAGCGCGCAAGTCGTCCCGCCATTTCATGTTCGGATCGTGGGCCCCAGAGTGCGTACCAGGAGGAGTAGGAGGAGGCCCACCACCCCACCGTCGTCTCGAAGAAGAGCGGCAGCGTCGTGGAAGGCGCCAAGAATACAGGGGCGTCTTCGTCCTAGCAAGGGACGGCGTCTCGCGGGGCGCGCGCGCGCACGCGGTCTGGCGCGAGACGGGCGACGAGGCGGGCGGAGCAGATGAGCCTGGACCCCGTCTCACCAAGAGCAGACGAAACCAGGACGAGGACAAATCAGGGTGAGAATGGATCGAGACTTTCTGAGATCCGGCTGGCTCTGGAAGATGTCTTGGGCGCCGCGGCATTCTCAAAGCGTTCCGGAATGCTCTGAGAGCGTTCCGGAACGCTTTGGAACGGATCTTTCCTCGTCCTAGCCCCGTCCGACCTCGGCTCGGAGGAAACAACTTCAATGTTCTTCGCATCATGTAGGCATCCTGAAGCACCCTTGTTGCAACGGCCGGACTGGCTCCGAGGTTCTGGTCTAAGCTCGCTCCAAGACAAGTCTGGGGATCGACCCTGAGCGTCTGGACCTCCAACTTCACCTCAGACCCAGGTGTCGTAAAAAACACGATCAGCGTTGCTGTCCCATCTAGGTCCCAAAGGCCCTCACGGATCTATCTGGCTCCGGAGATGCCGCGGAAAGATTGGGTCGAAGGCTCCAGTCGTGATTTTTTACAACGGTTTGATGTTTTCACGACGTCGATCTCGAGGTCCCCTGCCACTCTGTCTCACCCTCTCCCTATTTTTCCTTCTCACCACCCCATCAGACGAACGGGGCAGCGGCCTGACATGACCCGAAGTTCGTTTCACACTCCAGAAGCCATGCATCACAATCATGCCATGCCGCACATGTGCATCTCATGTTTGCTCGGTCTGCCCAAGAGCACCCGCGGGCCACTCATGGGCCTGGCCTCCGCGGCTGGTCAACACACAATTCGTTCGCTACCTCCGCCTCCCCTCCGCCTTCTACTCCCCAGACGCTCTCTCCCTGCCGATAAATCCTCCCAACCTTGTCCTGCTACCGAGGGCGCCCTCGGATCAGCTCGTGCACAGTCTAAACGACCTCGGATCAGCGCATGCGAGTGGCGCCACCCAGGAGCAGGAATGAGGAGGAGGAGGAGGAGGAAGAGATGAAATGCCCTTCCCATCTGGGAAAATGGTCACGATGGCAACGGGTCATGGATCCCCGAGCTTTCTCCAGGACGGACCCCTCATCCCGAGTCGTTGCTTGACGGTCCCAGTGTCCAGGAAGGGAGTCCAGGGTCGGAGGCGACGATGGGGGCGAATAGCCCAGAGGCGGGCATTGCACGTACCTCTTCGGGAGCCACGCCGAGGACATGAGCCATCGGCGCCTCTGGATGCGTGTATGGCTCCCCCTGGGCTATTAGCCCCTATCGTCGCCTCCGGCGAGGGGGTTCCGGGTGTTCAGGGAGAGCCGTTTCTTGGAGGAGGTAACGACCCCTTTGTGGCGACCCCCCTTTTGGAATGGGCTGGTCCCTGCCGACTGCAGCGAGCCTCGAGGGGTCGCCCTGCCCCCTCCTGAACACGACTTGAAGCAACGCTCTCACCCGAGTGCCATCACCACTCTGCGCGGAAATGGATTCGGCCACTTCCTCTTCCACCCCCCCCCTTCTCCTCCTTCAGAGAAGAATTCATCACTGCTCCCCTGAATGTACATCACCCCCCACGCCCGACCGGCGGCAAACCCAAAGCACTAACGACCCCCCCTCCCCACCATCCCTGACAATCAACAGTCCAAATACCGCGTTGCTGCAAGCTCTGGATCCTGCTCGGGCGCCCCGCGATCACGGTGCAACGTTTATCGACGGAGTTCGCCGGCCGAGCAACATCGAAAGGTCGCGCGAGGTGCGAATCATCGGGGGCCACAGAGGCAGGCCTCTCATCCTCAGGGCCCCTGGAGGCCTCCAGAGCCCTCTGGAGGCCCGCGGGGGCCTCCGCGGGCGGGCAGCGTGCCCCGAGGGGACGAAACAGCAGGCAGGCGGCACAGCAGCCCGCGCACCAGACGCAGACCTGCGCACCCGCGCAGCATCTCCCAAGCGAGCCCTCCCCCAGACATCCGGCTGCTCCAGTGTTTTCGATGCGTGGGCCCCGGAAGTCCAGGCTACTTCCCCAGGGCCGGCTTTTCGTCCTGAGCCGTCTTTTGAACAACCCCGAGGCCCAGCGAGGGCCCCGGGAGGCCGAAACTAGGAGACGCCCGCCGCTCCGATTTTTCGGAGCGTCGGATCTCTGGGACCCGCGCCTCCCCCCTTCCCCGGCGAGCGTTCCTTCAGGGGCGTCGTGGTGGTCGTCGTGGCGCCCTCTGGAAGAGCAGGTGCGGCCTGCGGACCCAGTCGGGAGGGTCAGGCCTGGCCCACCTCACCTGGCCTGGCAGAATCGAGCCTTCCTTTAGTGAAAGCGGCCTAGGACCGAAACCGACGGACCTGGACCCGCAGAAATAACGGCCGCGACGCCCTCTCGCGAACCGAAGGTGGCCAACTCACTAATCGACGTGTCAGGGTAGGAGGTCTATCAACCTTCGAGGTTTGCTGATGTGCTGCCGCCCAGCCCCCGTGCCCGAGCCTCGCCCGATCCCGTCGACGACATTGGCCTGCGTCTGTGCGGGCTGCCTGGCTGCTCGAGGCCAGGCGCCCTCACCGCCGCCAGAGCGGGTGCTGCCCCAGAAGGGCGGAGTCCCAGAGGCGCCGCCCAGTGGGGAAGCTCGGGCAGGAACTGCGGGGTCGGGACCGGCAGGATCGCACACGCCAAGAGGACTGTGCTCCACGCGCAGACGCGAGATGGCCCGCACGAGGGAGCCCGAGCCGTCGCGCTTCGCCCCAAGACGCGCAACAACAAAAAAACACCGGGGGTGCGTCGTCGTCCTGCCACCGTTTCCGCCGCCGACCTGCCTGCCTCCTACTTCAGGAGCGCCCCAGCTGTCGCGCTTCGCCAAGGGGCACGTGGGAAAGCCACCACCAGTGTTGCGGCGTCGTCGTCGACGCCGTCGCCGTGCGTGCTGTGCCCCATCGCGACCTGCCTGCCCGACCCAGCAGCGAACCCTTGCCGCCACGATGCTACCCGCGACGCCCAAGTCTGCCCCGTGCGCGCCTCCCAAAAACATCAAGAACAGCTGGGCCTATCACTCCAACGACCCGTCTCATCTTTCTCCAGTCCCCCTCCTCCATCTCGCCTTACGGCCGCGCGCATTCGTCTCAAACGTTTACAAGAGCTTGACGGATGGCGGGCGCTACCTTTTCAAAACGAGGCTCTCGATTGGGCGCCGCGCACAGACTTCTGAAACACATGCATACACTTCATAGGCGGAAGGCGTTTCTTTTTCAGCATGTGATTATCACCATAGCGCCGCGCACATTCGTCTCAAACGTTTGCAAGTTTCACAGATGGAGGCGAGCCGTTTTCAAAATCTGACTCTCGCGTCAGCGCCGCGCACCATTTTTCAACGCTTGCAGAAGCTCTACGGATGGAGGGCGGACGCTTTTCAGCATGCGGCTCTCGCCTCGACGCCGCGCACGGTCGCCTTTTTACAGCTTGCAGGAGCTTCGCGGCTGGAGGGAGGCTCCTCTTCCACACGTGGCTCTCGCCGCAGTGCCGCGCGCACTCGACGTACAAGTTCGCGTGAATTTCGCGGTTGGAAGGAGGGCCGTCTTCAAAATGAGCCTCTCGCCTGAGCGCCGCGCGCATTCGTCTTGAAGATTTGCAAGAGTTCCACAGATGGGGGTGCGGGTGATTTTGAACATGTGGCTCTTGTCTTAGCACCGCACGCGCTCTTCTCACACAATCGCAGATGTTTTTTTGTGGTGTATTTAAATATGTGGCTCTCGCGTGAGCGCCGCACATATTCGTTGCAGTGAAGAATCCCACCAGCCCTTTGGGCGTGAGTGGTTTAGCGAGCTCTCTCTGTCCTCAACCCCCCTTCTTCCCCTTCGGGTTTACCCCTCCCCCTACCCCCTCCCCCTGGGCCTGGAGAGGGGGGGGCGCGGGTCGTCAGGGGGGTCAATTTCGACTCCTGGGAGGGCTAAAAAACGACACCCCTCACGAGGATTCTGGCCCCGACGGGGGGGAGGAGAAAAAACCCTCTCCTCTTCTTCGAAGCGAAAATCATTGATTTTACTACGGGTTCGGCCCCATGTTGCCCTTTCTGCGGGGGCAGCGCTCCTCTTCCTTCATAGCAAAATCATTGATTTCACGAAGGTTTTGGGCTCAGTTTGTCCTTCTCAGGGGGCAGCGCTCACTTGCGCTTCTGAGGAGGTCGCAAGAGGCCCCAAGCTGGCCCCAAGAGGCCCCCAGGAGGCTCCCAAGAGGCACCCAAAAGGCCCCCAAGAGGCCCCCAAGAGGCCCCCAAGAGGCCCCAAGAGGCCCCCAAGAGGCCCCCAAGAGGCCCCAAGAGCCTCCAAGATGCCCCCAAGAGGCGCCACGAGGAGCCCGAACGACTCACACCAGAGGGGGCTGCGCTCATTTGCGCTTCTGAGGAGGCCGCAAGAGGCCCCAAGCTGGCCCCAAGAGGCCCCCAGGAGGCTCCCAAGAGGCCTCCAAGAGGCCCCCAAGAGGCCCCCAAGAAGCCCCCAAGAGGCCCCAAGACGCCCCAAGAGGCCCCCAAGAGGCCCCCGAGAGGCCCCCAAGAGGCCCCAAGAGCCTCCAAGAGGCCCCCAAGAGGCCCCACGAGGAGCCCGAACGACTCACACCAGGACGAGGGGCCCGAACGACTCGCACCACGAAGAACCCGAACGACTCACACCATAAGGAGGGGCCCGAACGACTCACGCCAGGACGAGGCGCCCGAACGACTCACACCACGAGGAGCCCGAACGACTCACACCACGACGCGGGCCTCGAACGACTCACACCACGAGGAGCCCGAACGAGTCACACCAGGAGGAGGCGCAGCGCTCATACAAGCCCCCCAAGATGGCCCCCAGAGGTCCACCAGATGGCCCCACGAGGTCCCCAGATGGCCCACAAGAGGTCCCCAGGAGGCACCACGAGGCCTCCAAGAGGCCCCCAAGATACCCCCAAGAGGTCCCCAAGAGGCCCTAGAGGCGCCGAAGACGCCCCAAGAGGCCTCCGAGCGGCTCCCAAAAGACATCTACTACTACTTCTTCTCCTACGATCACTACTACTTCTACTACTACTACAACTCATACTCGTTTGACTACATCATCTCGTACTACTACAACTACAACTACTATTACGACTCCTACCAGTTCTACTCGTACTACTATGAGTCTTACTACTACTAGAACTACTACTACTACTACTACTACTACTACTACTACTACTACGACTACTACTACTACTACTACTACCACCACCACCACCACCACCACCACACCACCACCACACCACCACCACACCACACCACCACCACCACCACCACCACCACCACCACCACCACCACCACTACTACTACTACTACTACTTACTACTACTACTACTATACTACTTACTACTACTACTACTACTACTTACTACTACTACTACTACGACTTCCATATGGACCACTGCTCTAGTGACTGCCTCTGCTACTGAGACAACTAGTGCGACGACGACGTCGACGACTACGTTTGCTACTACCGCTGATACTGGAACTACCACGACTACTACCATTACCACTACTACTACTACTACTACTACTACTACTACTACTACTACTACTACTACTACTACTACTACTACTACTACTGCTACTGCTACTGCTACTGCTACTGCTACTACTACTACTACTACTACTACTACTACCAGTACTACAACTGGTCCTACTGGTACTACTTCTTCTACTACTACTACTACTACTACTACTACTACTACTATTACTACTGCTACTGCTACTGCTACTCCTGCTACTATTGCGACTACAACTACTAGCACTACTACTTCTACGACGACGGCTACCGCTACTGCTACTGCGACTGCTACTGGAACTGCTCCTGTCAGTGCTATTCCTCGTACTGCTTTTCGAATTACTACTCCCACTACTCGCATCAACAACAACAACAACTACTACTACTACTACTCCTACTTCTACTAATACTATTACTAGTACTGCTACTAGTACTACGACGATACATACGGGTAATATACCTAGAGCTACTACTACTACGCCTCGACCTACTCACGCCACCACTATATCTACTTCAACTATAACCGCTACTAGTAAACTTACCACTGCTACTACTACTACTACTACTACTACTACTACTACTACTACTACTACTACTACTACTACTACTACTACTACTACTACCTACTACCTACTACCTACTACCTACTACCTACTACCTACTACCTACTACCTACCTACTACTACTACTACTACTACTACTACTACTACTACTACTACTACTACTACTAATGCCACTACTACAAGTACTGCATTACAACAACCCCTACTACTACCACCACTACTCCTCCTGCGAAGCATGCCGACCGTCGTGTTTTTTTCAGGCGTGTCTCCGCGTGCCCTCGCATATAGCCTGTGTGTATTTTTGTCCTCCTGCTTGTTTGGCTATTTTCCTACATCTATCTTGTTCAGGGAGCCGAAGAGGAGGAAGAGGAGGAGGGAGAGAAGGCGATGGGAGGCAAGACAGAAGGCGGTCGTCCTCGAGTCCTACACGTAACCGACTCTGACGACTCACACGACGGCGACGTCTCAGACGATAACGGCGGCGACGACGACGACGACGACGATGCTTACGATGACGACGACGACTTCGACGACGACGATTCAATGGACGACGGCGTCGACGATCCAGCGATCTTTCCCGACCAGTTCTGCAGTGCGCACGGGGCACAAGTAACTACCCTGCTCAGGCTCGCAGCTCTGAGCTGCACTTGAGAGGCAGGTTCGCCCATCAAGTCGGGCGCGGGCAGCAGGCGGCAGGTTAGGAGGGAGAGGCGGAAGAGGAGCACCAGGGGAAACTCGCCTCCAAGATCGGTCCCGTCGAACCGATCTGAGGATTTCCGTCCGGCAATGGTAGAATCACGGTACTCAGAGTGTGCACGTCCTGGACAAGAATGCAGGTGGTGTGCGTCGTTGGGGCCCCTCGCTCTGGTGTGAGTCGTTCGGGCCCCTCGCCGAACGACTCACGCCTCGACGAGGGGCCCGAACGACTCTGACCAGGACGGGAGACCCGAACGACTCGCACCAGGAAAAAAGGGCCCGAACGACTCACACCAGGACGAGAAACCCCAAACGACTCAAACCACGAGGAGCGCTTTCTCTCCCTCCTCCTCCGCCTCGTCCTTCTCCCGCTCCCCCCACAAGGAGGATGTACAAGGAGGCGGGAGGAAGGAGGAACAGGGGAGATATGCGGGGCCAAGCGGACACACGCCTGAAAAACACGACTGTCGGCATGCTTCGCAAGAGTTGCTGTTGTGAGATGGGCTGGTGGGGATACGCGAAACGTAAAGAATTCGGAGGGTTTTATGTTGGGTCTTCGCAGGAATAGTGTTTCGGCACGATTTAGTCTTGCCAGGGCGCAACAATCACGTGGATTCGCGGTGTTGAAATCCCAGGAATGGTGTTTAGCCACGGAAAAGGATCGCCAGGACGCAAAAGTACAAGTGATTCGCTGCGCTTGATGATTCTCAAACGGTTGTCATCCAACGGATCACTTCCAGAAGCGGAAACAAATCCTTGTAGGGCCGTGTGAAGAGGGGCCGCGAGCGGAGGCTGTATTGCAACATCTTTGATGCGTCTTGGGTTTACGTTGGTCCTCCTCCTCCTCATTCCTGATGAATGGAAGGAACGTCTTTCCTAGCTACCCCACCAGGGCTGGTCGGCCATGGCGGGACGGCAAACTAGTAGCCTGGCGGATTTAATCGCTGGCTCGGGTATTGATCAGGGTAGGCAGTGATATGCGACAGATACAAGGGAAGAAAGGGGGAAAGGGGAACATACCGTGAACATCAGGGAGGATAATGTAGAACGCTGGCGGCAGAGACTGCGGCGGCACGCGTGGCGGCAGAGGCTGCGGCGGCGAAGTGAACGGAGCGTGGGAGTGAGAGAGAGGGAAGAATCATGATTACGCGGTTCCCAGCGCACACGTTGTCCAGCGAACCGCGGCCCTCACCCCTCTGCTGCTCCGCCCCCCACCCCCCTTGCGCCCACTCCACCCCGCCAGCCGCCAGCCCACCCTCTCTTCCACTCAGTCCGCACCCTCCATCTGTGACGGAGCGAAGACTGACATCAGTCGGCATGTGATTTTCCTGGTCCTCACCCCTCCGCCCTCTGCGTCCGCTCTCTGCGTGCAACGCGCAGCGACGGCGGAGCTGCCTGTGACGGGGGCTTCCATAATGACCTCCCCGCTCCCTTCCCTGCAGGCTGCAAGCGGCTTCGAAGAATTCGCCGGCCCAAGGGGCCAGAGGCGTGCTAAAATCTCCGGCAACTGCTTTACAATATTTCTACTTCGCGCGCGCGGGGCGGCCCCTGGGGGTCCCCGGAAGAACCGTACCCCGGCTGGGTCGGATCAGAAATGGTTTCCTCCTGGGCGCCGCCCTTCAGGTCCTCCAGAGCGCTCCACCCCAAAGGTTCCCCAAGACGGTCCAAGAAGGCTCCCAGTCGTCGAACGATCGGTCCAAGGCGCCCAATGTGGCATTCAGATGGCCCAGGACGCCTTCAAACGCCCCAAGAGCCACCAAGAGCCCTCCAAAGAGGGCCCCCAGAGGCAAAAAGTAATGGATTTCCATTCTTGTTCAAAGAACTCTGGCGTTCTCGCATCCTCGTCTTACCCGCGCTCCAAGACGGCCCAAGAGGCCCCCACGATCGCCCCAATACGGCCCAAGGCGCCTCCAAGATGCCCCAAAACGGCCCCAGAGGGCCGCAAGACAGCGCAAGAGCCCTCCAAGACGGCCCAAGAGGCCCCCAAGAGAGCTCCAAGAGCGGGCCCTGACGAGGCACCCGAACGGACATTTCCGCTCTCGGCCCCGAGAGGCCCCCAGAAAGCCCCAAGAAGCTCCCAAGAGGCTCCAGGAGGTCCCCAAAATACTGCCAAGAGGCCCCCGAGAGGCCTCCCAAGAAACCCCAAGCAGCCTCCCAAACAGGCGTCTTGTCCACGGTCAAGTTTGCCACCAAAATGCTCCAACAAGTGATCGAAAGGCCTCCTCCTCATCCTCATCCTCCCCTCCTCCTCCTCTTCCTGCTCGTCCTCCTCTTCCTTCTTGCTCGCCACAGGCATCCTTGATAATTCTGACCTACAACACACGCACAACGGCGGGATAGGTTCCAGGCGCTCTTTAATGCGCCCAAGATGCGTCCCAGATGCCCAAGATGGCTTCCAAGACGAACCTGGGAGGCCACCAAAGCCGCCAAGATGGCCGAAGATGCCTCAAAGACAGCCGAGGAGGCTCCAAAGAAGCCCCAAGTGCGCTCCACAAAGTCCCCAAAGAAAGCCCACAAAGACAAACCTCAATGATTTTGATTGTGTTATTCCGTGTTTTTCATGCTATCGCCTAAGCTCCAAGACGGCCCCAGGGGCCCCCACGACCGTCCCAAGAGGTCCCAAAGAAAGTCCCAAAGCATCTAGAGATGGCCCCGAAACGGCCACAAGACGGGCCCAAGAGGGGGGACACGAACCGACAATTCGAGCCTTGCGCCCGAAGAGGACCCAGGAAACCCCAAAAAGCTTCCACGGCGCACAATATGGGCCGGCGGAATGAGCGAAGCGATTACATAAACAGGAGAAGGGGGCGGGAGACGCGGAGGAAGGGGAAAAGAACGGGAGGGGAGGGAGAGAGGACGGGGAAGGAAGGTCGCTGACGGACCGCGTGGTGACCTCGGAAGTTCAACGACCTCACCGCGCGGTGCGTCACCATGTAGTCCGTGGATCCTGGAGGCCACAATCGCCCGAGATGTCCTCAGAATACGCACCGAATCCCAAAACCGTGCGGTGACCCCGAATGCCTACTAACGGCGTGATCACCACACCGTTTGGGGGCCCCCGAGGATGGGAAGCGGGAGCGCTTCGAGACAGAAAAAGACCGGAAAGGGAGGAACGGGAGGGGACAGGAGGGAAGCGGAAGAGGATGCGGAGGGGACGGGAGGGTATGGGGACGGATGGGAGGGGGGGTGAAAGGACGGGAGACGATGGGGCGGGCCAGGCGGTTTACAGGAAGGGGCGGGCGGGAATGGATGAAAAGTAACCACATATGCCTCGCGTCTTGAGAGGCCAAGAAGCTCGACATTTACAGAAGGGCGGCCGTGTCCGTCGAGGCCGCCTGCAATGAAAGCTCGCAGTGGGTTTCCAGCGGCGGCCGTGAAGCGCGTGAGGGGAGGGTAAGGGCTGGGAGAGGAAGGGGATGAGAGGGCGGGTAAGGTGGAGGGGAAGGAGAGGGAAGGGATGAGAGAGCGGGATGAGAGGGTAGGTGGGGGTTGGGATGGGAAGGAAGGGTACGGGTTGGAAGGGGAAGGATGGGGAAGTGTTGGGAGGGTAAGGGTTGGGAGGGGAAGGGAGGGTTAGGGTTGGGAGGGGGAAGAAAGGTGAAGGGAGGGGACAGTGGAGGACGTCAAGGGACTAGATGGGACGGAACGGGGGGGGAGTGGAGAAGGGGGGGAGGAGAGAAGAACTGGGGCGTCCAGGAAACCCCATCTGATGGGGCCCCAAGGCCCAAGGGACGTCCCGTGAGAT